ATATATATATATATATATATATATATATATATATATATATATATATATATATAAAATCTTTTTTTAAGAATATAGTGTGTATTTTAAGAATGTACTAAGCAGAATTCGATTGGAAGTTATATATTATACTGAATGTTATAATCTTAAAGGTGTACATTGAAGCTTAAATAAGAGTTGAATGGATAAAATTAAAAGATACAAAGGTGTCATGCTCCAATTAGTAACTACAGGGGAAAATTTGTTTAATGAGAAAAGATAATATGAAATTGAAACAGGACAGACAAAAGTATAAATATAATGATTTGAATTGAGATGAGACAATCTAAATAAAGTTGAGAAAATTAAAAGAGAGGAAAAACTATGTAGAAAATATAAAACAGTGATAAGATATGGAATAGAACACAAACATGAGCATGAAATTGAGTTTGTCTCTGTATGAAGAAGTAATAACCTGGGACCATGCTATTTTCAAAAAAAGATGTTTTATTTGTATTATGTTTTTTTTTGTGTGAAAACCCAAATAAAATTTTCAAAAAACAAACCAACATCGTAGCTCTGGGTGATGTACAGTATTGAACAGTTTGGAACAATACAACACACAACTGGATGCTACTGCTCTTAGTTACACACTTACATTACCATCACATGATTGTGCCTGCTTGAAGCCCCAGTGAATCCTTCTTCCCAAAATTATCTGTTCTACTTAAGAGTTCTCTGAGCTGGACTTACTACATTCTGAAACAGGAGCAAGAATTCTCAGTTCTAATATAACTTACAAGAGACACATTTTAAAAGAATAGTGTTATTTTAGTGGGAAAGGATAAAAGCATTAAATCTCCCAGTTTTTCATCCATATGCAACCAGTTGTCCATTAAAAGTACTCTTGAATTTTATACACAAAAGACTTACCTAGCCAGGCAGAATTTGTTTTAAACCGAATGTTGTCAAGGATCAATTTCTCAATGTTATGAAGATTTTTGAATCCCTCTAGGGAATATGTATCAGACATAGTCTGGCAGTCAGATTGATTCAACGAGAGTTCCTTTAAAAACGTGTATTTGTCCAAATTTGCAAAAAGAGTTTCTGAAACTTATAAGGTAAACAGATAAGCAATGCATTTATTTGTACATCAATATGTAAATTACATTACTCAGGTTTATCATTAAATCCTGTGCATGCTTATTGCGAACACAGTATTTAGCGTGTTCTATGTTAAGTTGGTTTGACATGCTTTCTAGACTTAATGAGACTTATTATTAAGGAAGTCCTCAAATAAATCAAGCAAAATCAAATACAGTCTTGTCCCTTGGTAACCACTTATGTTGCTCCTAATCCTCCAGTATTTCCTGATTTATTTATAAAAAAATATTTTTGTAATATTTCTACCTAGATTCTTGCAAGATCCAGCAATATTGAATATTGCATTATAAATTAAAAGCAAAATAGATAGAAGTACCTGGTACTGAAGCACTCCACTTAATGTCAAGGGATTCAAGTGAAGACATTGAAAGAAGTAGGTTTTCTTCCAGCTCATTCAGTTCAGTATTATCTAAGCTGAAGACTTTAAAAGACTTCAAGTTCTTTTCAATAGCCATCTTGATATTCTCAAGGAGGCCTTTGCAATTTTTCAAATTGAGTTCAATATTATCAAAAAATGAGAAGAGCAATTTTAAATTCTCAATATCAGGAGCTTCAAGGGAATTCATGTGATTGACAACAAATTTCAGATATGGAATCTTCTCATGGCTTTTCACACAGAGAAATGGAGTTATTATGGAATCCGGAATCTCTCTGCATAAATAGCTCCTAAAATTATTAATAGAATCAAAGCCTTCTTTTAGTTGCTGAGTAACATTACTGAACAGTTGAAATGCCTGAGTGTATATTGGTTCGACCGATGGAACCTTCAAGTTGAGAAAAGCACTTTCCACGGCAACCATATCAATAGGTTTCTCCATGCCTGTAAGCACTATCTCAAATCTACTTGGTAAGAACAAACTTTCTGGATAATCCAGACATAATTGATGGATGGATCCACTTGTCAGCAAACATAAAGGAAACTCTTTTCCAGTCAAAATCTCTAAAATCATAGGTGCACAATTGGAAATCATATTGCTTTGATAGGCTAACTCAGTAGCAATTGTCAGTACAGTTTCGATGAATTTTGAGTGATGATACTCTGGAATAAAACTGGAGGCCATGCTGATAAGCTCATATCCTATTAAATTAAGGTCTGGAGTTTGTTGCAGATAAATATCTGACTGGCTTTCAAGTGACTTCTTGCAACTGGGTAAATTCAGTAGGTGGGATATTATTATGGGTACTGCTTTGGATGGTTCACTACAAGCATATCTCAAAATATATTGGTAGCGCCCACTAATTTTCACAAACGTGTTGATTTGTTGCAAGTATTCCAGGCCTTTCTTTTTATCTGACTGCACATCTGAAGCCAAGAGCTCACTCATTTTTTGTCCTGCAAGAAATTCTTGGAAGGAAAGGTGGAAGAACTTATAGAGTGGCTGGAGCCTTTGGGCAGTAAATTTGCTCAGCAATCCAAAGTAAAGAGCTTCCTCCACATTAATCCCAATTTCAGACAGGTCCTTCTCACTGAAGTTAAAGAGGGATTTGAGGACACCTTGTAAAGCTAATTCACCACAAGCAGACATCATGGCTTTCATGCGATCCACTTCTTGAGGATATTTCAACAAGCTGTACAGTCTGTAGGCTTTTAAAATGACAGTACCAGTGAATATGTTGCCATTGGGATTCTGAGCCCAGTATGAGGCAAGAGCTGCAACAAAAAGGGGAGTCTTCAGCATAAAATGCATAGACTCTTTATAAGTATATTTAATAAAAAAGTCTCTTAAAAGCCGAACATTGTATGAAAATAGTTTTCTTAACAGATAGAGCGTGCTACTTAATGGGAATTCCAAAATACTGAGAAGAGTGTTTGCATGTTGGCGAATTCCTCTAACTTGGTGAGGACGCACTGCAATAACCAAGCAGTGTTTGTTCAAATAGTTCTTTTGAATCAAATCTTCGATCGCCCAGGGAAGCCCATTCATTGTGTCAAACTCATCCAAAAGAAACAGGACCTCGTTAGTTAAACTTTGGCATACGTTCTTCAGAGAATCTTCAGTCAAGGTCCCTTTAAGCCCTATTACCTGATTGCAAATAAGGTCGGCCAGACTTTGATCACGTTTTCCAGAATTCAGGGACAAATAAAAAACTAACTTGAATCTGCTGAGTATGGGACAACATCCAGAGGCCCAAAGAATTGCTATTTTCCGAAGCAATGCAGTCTTTCCACTGCCTGCCTCTCCTTCTATTACTGTAATGGAATAAAAGCTCTCCAGGATCTCAGGCAATGTCAGCTGCTGCTGTGGTTGGTTACTGATGTCCTTGGAGACAATGGCCAGATCCCCGTAAAGCAATTTCAAGTCAACGGCAAAATGAGTGTGATCCCCAAAAGAAAATATTTTCCTGAAACTGAAATCATTATAAGCTTCTGAGAGCTTTCTTTGCAGCCATTCATGTTCATCCAGAACAATGTCTGTAAAAGCAGAAATGAGACATTTGCCTTGATAAAGTTGATTTGATATGTTTTAACTATAACTGTTTTTTCTAATTGTACATTTCCATTTGGTGGCTGTTCTCCTGCTGGACATCCTATACTTATAGCAAAGTTGTGTCTTACTGTCTTGCACACTTCCTAGTCACTCTGTTTTCAATACATAAATAGTAATTTTAAAACAATTAAATATTGCTTAATGTGAAGCACAAATGTGTGAAGTATTTGTAAGAAAGATTCCTGGTCTCCATGAATATATTGGCATTATATATTTTGCAGACTGGGTAAGCAAAATGAAAATGCAAAACAGAAATTAATCCCTTTGATAAGATGCAAACTTGAAGGAAAGAAGGTCCAGCAAGGGATTGTCTGGCAAGAAAATGTTGGTTTGGGAAATACCAAATAACCATCACACCCTCAATAACGATTCTCAAATGCCAACTGTAAGATATTATATTATTGTGGGTTTATTCATTTATTTATTTGTTAACTGTATTTGCCCACTATCTCACTGTAGGGCTACTCTAGGCTGGTTACAGTAATAAAGAGGAAGAAAAATGAAAAAGTGTATAAACAGAGGTAAAATAATAGAATAATAAGGAATTAGTATACTGTCAGCTATCCAGAGCTTGAATAAGATAAGCAATTTTATAAATGTAATAAATAAATAAAATTATTCTGTAAACTTAAAATGTTTAAATAAACAATGATAGTTCCTATGTAGATGAGAGAGAGAGGGAGAGGGAGAGGGAGGGAGGGAGGGAGGGAGAGAGAGAGAGAGAGATTAAGCACCTAGAAATCAGGAGAGTGTAAGTCTCTCAGCCCTAGAAAAGAGGCAGGAACCAGCCAATTCCCAAAACAAAATTCTTGCCAAGAAAACTGCAGGGTCTTATCTAACAGTCACCAGGAGCCAAAATCGGCTGAAAGCCACCAAATTATATTATGATCATAATACATTTATACTTTACTTTCAACCAGTGACTTGACACTTACCAGGCTTGGTTTACAGTGTACTATAAATTAACATCTACATAAGGCATCTCTTTTGATATCCAGTTGTGCAATGTAGTTGACTGTATGCCCTTCATTTGGCCTGAAACCTTAGGTATGCTAATTTAAATGTAAACCTTAAAAAAAATCCTGTTGAATCAGTAAACTCCATACAAATGCTACACAGGTGTTTTTAGTGCAGGGTTATATAGATCCTGAATAAACTGAACGCTTCACATACTTATCCTAAAATTTAAGGCAAAATATCTGTGATCCATGCCATTGAGTGTGGTAAAATACTTACTGGTTGTGGCTGAGCTGACAGCTTCTATCTCATTTAAATTCTCATTGTAATATGTTTGCTAAAAAAAAAAAGCATATTAAGGTTCCTGTATAGCACTGAAGGACACTTGGTTTTACTTTATTAAATTTCTGTTTGTTCACTCTCATTAGTCTAGTCCTGCTATTAGATACTAGTGTAGAATTTGAAGAGACCCCTTGGCATTCCAAAGGGAGGATGTCTTCAGAATAGTTGGTGGCACCAACTACAATCTATCCCATTAATTTCGTGTAAGCCATTATTTCATGGATGACAAGACAAAATCTTGTGGAACATCATAGCATGAAAAACTTTACTGCACTGGTATGGCTCTTCCACATATGCAGACTAGGCAGTCACCATAGGGATTGCACACTGATTACTGTACAAGATTCACCTGGGACACAGTTGCTGACAACAAATCTAGAACAAATCTAGAACCACCACCACCACTACCTCAGCATCAACTTCTAAGAAGTAACATGAACCTTCTTCTATTTCACCCATTTACAATTAATGGTACTAAAAATTATATAAAGATCCAGCCCAACCAATAGATGCTGTGTAATATGCAAAGGAGGTATTGCACTATATAAGGTGTAAGCTAAATTACTAGCTGAATAAGAAATGTAGCATCCTTTTAGTTTCTGATAATCTAGTATCCTTGTTAAAAGCAATCACCCCCTCTTCAGTGAACTCACTCTTGTGTGGATCTATACTGGCAACCTGAATTTCTAACCAAAATCTAAAATTTGTACACACCGCGGACAATTTATTAGAATATTACAAAAAAGCAATAACAATTCTTGTTTTATCTCTCTGATACTCCTATTTATACAAATGGAAATTACCGTATTTATCGGCGTATAACACGCACAGGCGTATAACACGCATCTTCATTTTAAGAGGGAAATTTCAGGAAAAAAAATTAAAAAAAATTCTGCCTGCCTGCCTTAGTTTCTGGTTGTTTGGGAGCAGCTTCGGCTGAGAATAATAACTATTCGCCTCTTTTACTCAGCCGAAGCTGTTCCGATTCAACCATTAACGAAGGCAGGCAGGCAGGCAGAACGGAGCACTGCGGGCGGGCGGGCGGGCGGACGGGATGGGGGTGGGGGGGAAACGGGCGCTTCAGGGAAGCTGCGCTGACAGGAAAAGCCCCCCCCCCGCTTCTTTGAAGCAGTTTCTTCCTGTGCTGGTGGAGGAGCGAGAGAGCGACTGAGAGAGCTGACCCAGAGAGAAGGACAGGCTTCGGTTGCTTCCTCCCTCCCCTTCTTTCATTTGTGTCCTTGATCCCCGATCCCAGCAGCATTCACCGAAGGCTTCTTAACATTATATCGGCGTATAACACGCATACATCATTTGCCCCCTATTTTCAGGGGGGAAAAAGTGCGTGTTATACGCCGATAAATACGGTACTTTCTATTATGAAAAAGTTAACCTAATCAAATCCTGGCTACCCTCTGTTTTACCTTTTCATGCTGTGACTTGGCCTCTGGTTGCATTTTGCTATTTTCCGATGATATCCATCTTTCTGGATCTGATAGCTTACAACTGCAATGCATTTTTAAAGAATAGCTGTGTTAACTGAGATCAACAAAATGAACCATATCAGATATCACTAATATTTGTATACCCTTAGATGATGCACCACTGAATGATTGAATCTTGCTATTTTATATGACACCAACCAGTTTGTTTGCCTTTTAAAAAAAATAAAACTAAAACTATACCTCTATACCTATATCACGGCCTAGGATCCATCAACAGACTATGTGGTTTGCTCCAATCTAGAACCACTTGTGATGGCTGAACTATAACTGTCACCAATCCTAGCTATCTGCATGTTGTGCTAATTAAGATGATACAAATAATAGCAATAGCAATACCCTTAGACTTATATACCGCTTCACAGTGCTTTACAGCCCTCTCTAAGTGGTTTACAGAGTCAGCATATTGCCCCCAACAAGCTGGATCCTCATTTTAACCTCAGAAGGATGGAAGGCTGAGTCAATCTTGAGCCAGTGAAATTTGAACTGCCGACTGCTGGCAGTCAGCAGAAGAAGCCTGCAGTACTGGATTCTAAGCACTGTGCCACCAAGGCTCATAATAATAATCTGATACATGTGAAGAGCATCTACACTTCTTTTCCGCAAACTCCAAGTTGGAAGTTTACAAGAGTTCTGTATATCTCCAGACCATTAGGGACTAGATGTAGGAGAAAATAAAATGAAGTTGAATGCAAATTATATAGCACTGTTGCTAATTTCACGATTAAGAAGATACATCTGCTGGGGGGGCATTCTTCTTTAGAGTTATATTTATAGCTTAGGAGTCCTGCTGAATCCAGCCAGATGTCCACATCTGATGGCTGGCTGTTTGATAAAAAGAGAGACTTCTATACTATTTGGAGGAAAGAGTGATTGATGCACCAAAACTTTAACACAGGATCACTACAATCTGTTCATGAAGCAATTCTTGAATACAATTAGAAAATTAAAGATGGCCCAAAAGTGGCAACATGGGTGGTGAGTGGAGCTTCTCACCATCATATTGCCATATTCTGGAGGGTTTGAATATGTGAAGTTCTACGTTGTTCCCCTGCTGAGACAGATTCACTGGTTGCCAGTTCTTAACGTTAAAGTTAAGGAATTCACAATGGTGCTTAAGGCTATCCAGAGGACAATTTATTCATGTTCAGTCCTTCTAACACTTTCAGTGGAAGACTGGAAGACATCCTGCTTATGTTGTCATGTATTGTTTGACTTCTCTATGGGATTCATTTTTGTAACATGATGGACCCACAGTGTGGAAAAAAATTCACTGGAGTTAGAACAAACTCCTTAGGATGACCTCCTCAGTACAATTTAAAGAGTAATTAAATCAACCAATTAAAACATACATATTTATCCAAATATTTATTTGTATTATTATTTAATTCATTTCTACAAGATTGGCAAGTATTTGTAACTTTTAAACAAACAGTTATACTATTTTATAAATTATATTGTAATGAGACCATCTTCACTTACTGAGGGAAAAATTTCATATGTTCTTCCCAAGGATCATCAGTTTCTTTCCAGTTGTTCACACACCCACTACAGTAAAAGCACTGTACAGTATCGTTTTTCCCTACAAAAAAAGGCAATAGCAGTTCAACATTGTGGGGGAGGGGTGAATACACACAGTATATGCACGCACGCACGCACACACACACACACACACATACACAAGAATGCTGTCATCAATGTTTGATCAATCTATTAATTTTGATCAGAATCTGTAATACTCCCTTTTGTTTCAGTTGACTTGTTAACACTCCATCAAGATCATTAAAGTAATAGATATAATGCTAAATGAAAATCAGAAAAACAAAGCCTCCACTCTCTTACTTATAAGTAGAAGGAAGGGAACATCTATCAGAATGCATAGAATTTATCCTTTTGGGGTTAGATGAGGATAATTATTCATACTGTAAGATAGGACGATACATGAGATGATTAGAGATTGGCTGCTACCTGGAAGGACTAACTTGTCAGAAAATATGAACAGATGATGACACTTAGTTTGCTAGGAAATGGGGATTGGAATGCCATTGTTTGGCCCAGGTAGGATCAGTGCAACTTTTGTCCTGATTGACTTAGGCATACTTAAATGGAAAACCCTCTTCTCATTTTTAAATGTGTAGCTTTTCTTGTAAATAAATTAAATGACTTGAGGACCTAGTACAGGGAGCCAACAGTTTTTGGTCCTGGGAATACACTTTATGATTTTGGGATTGAGAGCTATAACACGTTTGTCTAGGAATGCCATAAAATCATAAAACTCAATGAGACAAAATGTTAATTGGGGTAGTTTTACAGAACAGAATGAACATACTACGGTCACAGAGACTTAGGACATCAATGTTAACTTATATTTTAGAAAAACAATAAACATTAAAAAAAAAACACCATTAACAATTAACAGCTTCCCAATGTTCCTTCATCAATCTTATGCAGTAAAGGACTGAGAAAGATGGGTGCCCAGCAATGAGGCTATGTGGATTCCAGGAATGGAACGGAG